AATTATGCTTTCTACAGGCCCTCGTCAGCGTATGAAAATAAGACGTGTTCTTTTCCCCCTTTATCAACCATCGGACGCGAGATTTCTGCTGCCAATAGCTTTCCTCCGCCTCCCACTGTCTATTCAACCCAGCCTCCGGGCCCTTCACCTCATCCCAATTGATCGGATGGATAGACTTGATATGATCAATCTCAGCCTACAAGGTGTGGATATTACGCAGGGAGTTAGTAGTACCCGCTCTGCTCCAATCATAGAGCAGATGACGAAGTTTATTCAGCCTCTCCCACAGCTGGAACATTGGCGTCTCATGGATTATCTGAACCTTTGTTTGTAAAACCTGATAACTGACATGATATTCTGAACTAATTCACTGCATATTCAATTTGATGCATTGTTAATAGAATAAAAAAGCTATACATTCAATTCGATATTCTGGGACCAACTAAAACCCTACTGATTTTATTTTCCTTCTTGTTCAACACATCCGCAAACCCCAAAGAAAGATTATTCTTGATTTCCCTCTCTCTAACCTCTTCCAAAATCCAAGTATCCAGCTGTTGATTCAGTTTCTTGGTTTTTATGTCTCCTTTCGGTTCATTGCACATTCTGACATTACTATTTAATATTTAAAATAGAATAATAATAATAATAATAATAATAATAATAATAATAATAAATTGTTTCGATGATGACATTATAATGAGAGGAGCCGTCTCAAAGTGGCCGAGTCATTGTTCCCCTCGTTATAACATGTAAATTATGATAAAGGGCTTTCTTTGGTACATGATGTCTTGTACTTGTCTGCTTTGTTGGCGGTTGTTTACTTTGCAACAAGATGGCTGCCTGAAAAGATGGAAACCAGAAAGAGAACAGAGAGATTTTCCCTCTGTATTTTAATGGTATAGCAAACATAGTAATTAGCTACATTGTGTAAGAGTTGGATACGATTCTTACATCTCTCAACTCTGGATGATCGCGTTACTTCGCTAAAGTTCTCTAACAAAAAGCTAAATAAGTGTTGGGATAATCTCCTTTCAGAACAAAATAGATAAATCTGATGAAGTAATAACCAATCACACAAGGTAATTAATTTATATGATATTCACGTTTGGTATGGACTGAATTAGTCCACAAAATCTTTCAAAAAATTAGTCCACAAAGAGATGCCTCTCAACTTAATTATATATAATATATAGTATAAAATTCTATTATTTTGTAGTAGGTTATAAGTATAATATATAACTCTATATGTATTTTCATCAAACATTCCCTCTATTATTTTTTATATCGAACATATTTTGTATTTTAGAAAAATTATCAAACATGCTATTCTGTCAAAATTTGTATTCACAAACCATCACCATGGTCGAACTGTGGTTCATAAAACTTGGTCTCTGCAAAATGGAAGAGAAAATATCAGTTTTACCCTCTATTTATTTCTAAGTTTTATTAAAGTAAAATTATTAGAGGTATCTCTATCAAAAAAAAGTATTAGAGGTATCAATGGTTGACGGTTTTGTCATGGAACACTAACATAAGGGCATGTTTGATAATATTTCCAAATATAGGGGTATGTTTGATGTAAAAAATAGGGTAATGTCTATTTTATATCCAAACATTTTTCAGATTCTTTTATATTATCCAAACCTATTAAAATTCTATTAATTAGCCAAATCTTTCATAATGCATCAAAATATTAGGCATTTTTACGTTATCGTTAATAACTTTATAATTCTTTTCTTCTTTAAAATATTAAAGTTTTGGAATGTTGATCTTCATGTGTATTTTCAAAGTCAGTATCGTGTTGCTAAGTCAATATTACTAACAAAATTGCTAACTGAAAGTTAACATTTGGCTAATTCTTAGTATTTCGATTGAATTAGAAAATTTAAAAGAATCTGAAAAGCTTTGGATAAAAAATAGAAATTACCCTAAAAAATAGTAGATGGTATGTTTTTTTTATATGGGTGATATATTTTACGTTTTTCTTATTAAGGTACTACTTAAGAGATTCGAACCTGAGACCTCCAAGTTCTAGACTAGTGGTATTACCACTAGGCCAAGTCTTTGTTCGTAATCGAGGGGTATGTTTGATAAAAAAAATACATAGTTGGTAGGGTTGACTATTTGGTCCGGGTTTTTTGGTTTTATACGAAACCGGACCGTATAACCCAGACCGAGACCGGACAGGATAGTAAACAATCCAATCCAATCTTTGGGCTTAGATTTGAGGTAAAAAATCGTTCGGGACCGGATCGAAAATTGACCGGATCGAAAATTGGATAAAGACCGAATAAGAGAGCTCAACACCCAAAACTTAAGGGTAATTTGCATAAACGGTCACAAACCTTTGCACTTAGTATAAAACTTAACCAACTCCTCACCCTTTCAGGCCTTAGGCCACTCAAATCCGCACAAACTCAATATAAAATCAAGACCGAATTGGGTCCGGACTGGGTCAAGACCGGACCAGATCAAGACCGGACTGTATCGAATCCAATATTTGGCCCTTATATTTTCAAAAATACCGGACTGGACTGGATCAATTTGGGCCAATTTAACCGGACCGGACCATATAGCCACCCCTAGTAAATGGACATTTTATACCTATAATCTTATAAGAATGGTTGAGATTCTTATAATGGTTGAGATTGGAGAAGATGTCATAATGGTTATCACTAAAGAGGGATAATGAGGGAAAGCAGAAGTTTTGGGATAGTTTGGCTAATTTTTTTTGGACCAGGGCATCTCTCTAGGTGACAGCTAATGCACTTTTCAATTCTACTATGAATTTTCAACATAAAATATCTCATTCATTTTGCATCATATTTCAAAAACTTTAGTGTAGATTTTTTTTTCCTACTCCACAACATTATATCAATTTTGATATTTTTGGAGCAAACGTTTTCATGTCATCTTAATAATGTCATAACATGATATGACAGTGATATGGTGGTGTCGTCAGTCTTAGCTCAGTGGTAAAATAATGGTATGAAGTAGTACGATGGTATTATGAAATCTTACCATAATTGTATGATGTTGGTATGATAGTGGTAAGATAATATGAAGTCTTTATTAATAAGGGTGATGTTGTACTCTTTTATGGTTAGGTACTACTTAAGATATTGAAACTTAGGATCTCCATGTACAAGATTAGTGGTATTACCACTAGATCAAGTCATTGTTCGTAAGATAATATGAAGTATTATCTTTGAGAAAAAAATTATTGTCATCATAACACTATCATATCATATTATCATTGCGGTAATATCATGAAATGACAATGATATGATACTAGTATATGTGTTACTATAGTGCTAAGATGATTTCGTGAAGTATAGTGATATGATGTTGATATGATAGTGATAAGATAATGCAAAGTCTTATCTTCAAGGAAAAAGAATTATGTCATCATACCATTATCATATCATGATATTATCATGCTGATAATATAATGATATGGCAATGATACGATCGTAGTATTGTTTGCCTTCCTACCATAGTGGAAAGATCATGATATGACACTTATACGATGACGAACACATGTTTTTAATGGATAATTTATTTTTTGCTCAAAACATAACAAAATGGATATCATTGTGTAGATTATAATTAATGAGTTCTTAACAGCTCGGACAGACTGCTCGGCCTCTCGAAGAATTTGGGAAAAGGTTGTTCCGCCACTACAGCATCACAACTTCTTCACAGCTCATCATGACGAGTGGTTCCGAATGAATTTGGAAGGGGCTGATATTTTTGAGGATCAGGAACAGTGGGCAAGTCACTTCTCCCTTCTAAACTTGTACATTTGGAAGTATAGGACCGAGTTCATTTTTCAGGGAAAGAGGCTAGCGGAATCCACGCTGATCAACTACGTCACGACAAAAGCTAAAGACTGGTTGCAGACGTGGATATATTGTGTGTGATTTTAGCTACTAATGAAAGTCCCCAACGAGAGGACCACCTGATTAGCTGGACCTTTCCACCGAGAGGCTGGAGAAAGATGAATACCGATGGTGCGATGCAGGGTGGAACAGGACTAGCAACAGCATGTGGGGTACTCTGAGACTCTCACGGTTACTGGCTAAGTGGTTTTTGCTGCAAAATTGGGACGGGTTCGGCCGTTCAAGCAGAACTGTGGGGAGTTTATCAAGGACTTAAGCTTATCTGGAAGAAAGGGACTCAGCTTCTAATCCTAGAGCGGATTCGATGGTGGCTTTGGAGCTAATAAAAAATCTTGATGACTTAGCACATCCATACTCAACCATATTAACGGCTATTCGGAGATTGATATCACAGAACTGGATGGTCCATTTGATTCATACATATCGGGAAGGGAATAGAGTCGCGACTTGGCTCTCGAAGCACAGTCTCGTCTATCCCTTTGGTATGTTCCAACTGATTTGGACAGAATCCTAAGGGAGGACATTATGGGAGTGAGCTTTCCCAGACATATTCCGCAGAACAGAAGTTGATGCTATAACTGGGAATTGTTTTTAGTTCCTGGAGCTGTTTACTTTGTTTCTTCGGGGTTAATTTTGGTTAGCTACGCTTCTACAAGTTGTGCAGGGGAGTTTAGCTGAGTCTGTACCTCCTTGAATCTTTGGCTTATGCCTCCCTTCCAATAAAAAAATAACGAATTCCTTTTATGCAATTTTATAAAAATTTCGAGTTAAAACGAAGGAGACTACATCATTGTGTATACCATAATGAACGAGTTCTTTTTTGTAAAAAAAAATTCATCATCCAAACGAGATGAAATGCTTTGTGGTTAATTTTGTCACTTCTTTTTAAAAAAGGACATTATCTTAAAAATTAATTTATAAATAAAAATGAAAAATCTTGCAAATCAAACGGTCGGATGGCAGATCTTGTTCATGTTGTATCCAAGTTACAAAACTCATAACTTCCTTGTTGTCATAATCTCAGAGAGCTAGCCACGTAATTTAGAAAACAAATGAAGTAAGAAAGAAGAAAACCGAAAACTGGGCGGGATTATAAGAATAAATATTTTTTTATTAATTATTTATCTAGGAATTTGTACTCAGAAGAATACGAACCCTTCCATCGACAAAAGATCATTGGTAGGCTCGTATTCACTCCCTATCCGCTGCCGGATCAAAACATCGTCTTCTCGTCCACGTGCCGCCGGCGCCGTCGCCATACCACCATGACCCATCTGCCGCTGCTTCCGGCCAGACCCGCCGCCGGTAGTTGTCCCCAAAGACCACCCTTCAAAGCTCTCACTTACCTCGGGTGGGCTCCATCCGCCCGGCCTACTTCTCGCCACCCGACGGGCCGCCCGCGGCCCAGGCCCAGGCCCATCTTCGAAATCGCCTCCCTTCCTCATCATCGGCAGCTCCCCAAACGTCACCTTACGTGGCGCCTTCCTATTGCTCTCCATCATCGACGTGGACCGATGCCTCCTTTCTGCCGAGGTCGTCGAGTCCGTACTTGCTGACGTGTCGGAAAAATCCGTCTCGGGGGACGGGTCCCACCTGATTCCCCTTTCCCTCTCCCTCTCCCTCCTGCTCATCACTTCCCTCTTGCTCAGCGCCCTTGCCGGCAGCTTCGCCGGCGCCGCCGTGGAGCTCCACATATCCGCCGGCGGCGGGGGAGGAGGGCGATGATTCTGCCGCTTCCATATCTCCGCCAGGGGGACCGGAGTGGGGCTGCCGATGCTCCACTGGCCGGATCCGACACGGGACGACGGCGTCCTGTCGTCGCCGCCGATCTGCGCCTCTTTGCTGAAATTGAAGGCGGCGGCGGTGGTGGTGGTGGTGGCGGTGGAGAGATCGTCGAACACGTGGTCGACTTCGCGGTCGAGGGCGGCGATCTGGTTGTTGCCGACGAAGCAGTAGCGGCCGCCGCCGACCCGCGGATTGGAAGAGGACACGTGTTTCTGGGTGAAGCGGATGGGGTAGAGGATTTCCTCGTGGTGGTCCCGAAGAATGCGGTCCTCTTCTCCCGACGATGGACGGCGTGGATTGAACGGGGTGGAAGGCGGGCTCATGGCGAGGTGGGACCTGAGGGTGCGAACGGAGGATATTAAGGCGAGGTTGGGGGGCGGGCGGTTGTTGGGGAGGTGGTGGTGATGGTCGTCGTCGTCCGGCAGGTAGTCCGGCGGGGAATCGTCGTGGGTTTCGCTTCTGTGGCGGCGGTGGCTACTGAGGCAACAACCCATTGTTTCGGGATGTGGAGTAGTTAGGAGAGAGACTGTTGATGTTGGTTGACAAAGAGGAAAGGGAATTCGTGTGATAAGGATGGAGTTGTATATATAAGTGGGATGCATTTGAAGAAGAGGGTAATTGTTACAGGAGCGCCAGCTGCACAAGATGTTTCTTGTCGTCTTACTTTGTAGTCCTCTCTTTTTATAACGAACATAACAATGACTCAACCATGTCAATTAATTAACATGTAATTATTAAAAATAACTTATGCATCGCATAAAAAATATTAACAGACCGTTTGGAATAAAATGGAATGATAATTCATTTCATTTTGATTCAAAATAATTTTATATGTAGAATTTTTTGTCAAATGAATTCATATGTTTGAAATATTATATTCCGATCTTTATAAATAAATTGAATTGAGATAGGTACATAATTAAACTAGATTAAAAATTTTCAACTATACCTATTAATCTCAAGTAGAAATAACATTTTCTATTACTCATTGAAAATCCATCTTCTAAAAACGCAAGTGTCGAGCCTAGCAAGCTAGCAGTGTTGCAGCTTAAGAATAATGAAACTGGGAGTGTCGATCGGAAAGCACACAAAAGTGGATATAAGAGCCAAATAATGATTATATATTAGGTCAAGTATCGTGGGATTTTTCCAGAAATAACACATTTTAAAAAAGAAATGACAAAAATAGCACCTAGTCCATAGAAATTACAAAAATAGCACCCTTTTTTTTAAAACCGCACCTCCAAGGTGCGCTTTGACTGTGAATCGCACGCCCAAGGTGCGGGTTAAGGTTCTGGGCCAAAACCGCATCTTGGGCAAGCGATTTCAGGGCTGATCTAACAAAACCGCATGGCCTAGGTGCGGTTCTTGGTCTGACCTAGCAAAATCGCACTTTAGGGATGCGGTTTTGTTTCTCCAAAATAAACCGCACCCTCAACATTCAGTTTTGCCCTTGCCGACACACAAACCCCCCCCCCCCCTCCCCCCATGCGGTTTGTGTGTCGTCCCCATTTTTCCGACACCAAACATATTGTCATGCAGGTTGACAGACGTGGGGCTGCATGGCAGATGAAAACCGCACCCTTCCCATGCAGTTTTCATTGATGATTTTGCCTATAAAAGACAGCCCCGGGAAACCTCTTCTCTTCACACCTCTCCTTCTCCCTTTTCAATTTTCTATTGTAGCTCCCTGCTTCTTTAGTGTTTTTGCGGTTAACGTTAACTCGTAAGTTTATTTTGTATTACTTTTTATTAAGATTTGTGATTTTTATGATATTAACTGAACTACGTTTTTTTGCAGATGGCATTCCAAAAGTTCACGCTTGAGTTACGGTGGAATGGTACATGGAAGAGACCAGAAAGGGGGTCACCTACGTCAGTGGCAATTTTCAGAAAATAAAGGTCGCTACCAGACCGATGCTTGAAGACCTCTATCAAATGTGTACTAACTTTACTTGCATGGATGACATGAGAAGAGTTGATCGTATGGTGAACCAATATCCAAATATAGAAGGCGGGTCGTTGTGGCACGAGAAATATCTCATAACCACTCAGGATGAAGTAGATGACATGCTCGAATTATTGAGGTCCAACAATCTTTCCAAAGCCGAGATGTTCGTTTACACCGAGGCGGTCGTAGGCGTTGAAGGTCATTCTGGAGATGGTCAAACATCTGGTATCCATGGTGGAGGTGAATTATATGGAGATCATCCCTACCAAAGTTACCATGATCCTCATTCCTATTTTCAGTACCAATAGCAAGGTAAAGGTCATCATTAATCTTTGGAAAAAATCCAAAACCACCACCGTTTAAAAAAAATTACAAAAATACCACCTAGACGAAATAATTTCCAAAAATACCATCATTTATTAAAAACCGATCATTTAATGAGCGGTTTTATATAAAACCGCGTCTCCAGGCGGCGGTTACAGCATAAAACGCGCCCCCAAGGCGCGGTTTGACCTTGCATGGCTGTCAAACCCAGTTGCCACGTGGCGGTGCATCAAACCGCCAATCAGAGGAGCGTTTAGACGGATAAAACGTGTGCCAAGTCAGCAGTCCGTGTCGTCCACAGAAACCGCCTCCCCAGGCGCGGTTTGACCGTTGGGAAAATGAAACCGCTCCCTTGATGCGCGATTTGACCGCAGGGAAACTAAAACCGCATGTCTGACGCGCGGTTTGACCGTCGGGAATCTAAAACCGCGTGCTGGGGCGCGGTTTTTGGTGGCGAGAAATTACTCCACCGACTCTCCCCCACGCGGTTTGAACCCTATAAACCCCCCCCCCCCCTTCTCTTTTCTGCACACCATCCACCACACTCCCCTCTCTCCCTCTAACTTCTCTCTACCCAACCCATCCCCACCCAACCTTAGAATTAGTTTTTTTGTTGGTTGCGGCTAAGTCCGATCTGCCTCCAAAATACTTTTTCTTTGGTTTTCACTAAAAAACCGTCGAACCTCTGTCCGGATTTCGAGAGAATGGCCGATTTCGCTCAAGAAGAGGGTCTTATTTATGATGATTATCAAACGGTACGTACTCATTTTTCCCAATTGTTGTTGTTGTTATAATGATTTATTTAATTTATATACTAATGATTTATGTTATTGTTATGCTATCGTAGGTTGGGCCGAATGTTGATATTTTCAATCAACGATATTATGTTGATCAAGGACCGATTGATCCGACAGTTTTATACGATCAAGCAAATCATCGTTCAAGAGACGTTTGGAACGACCACAAGGTACATATTATTTATCATCACTTTTAATTTATATTTTGTTAAAGTAATTTATTTGTTGTACAATAATTTACTTAATTGTTAATCGTATTGATTATTTCAATAATTTAAATCAATACAATACAACACTTATTGAGACTCTGTTATAAAGAAATGCATGTCTAAGGAAATGGGGACTTAAGCGATCATCATGATCCCCCCATGACCTGGGAAAATCGGGTTCTAAGCGATCCTCGGATCCCCCCTTTTTATGTCAAAAAGACTGTGTTTCTAAGGAGATGTATACCTCTCCTAAGAGTCTTACGAGTGTAGTTGTATTGCTTTAAATTATTGATAATAATTAATACGATTAACAAAATAATATATTTGATTTTATGTGTATGTGTACAAAAAATATTTATACTTAAATTTCGAATTATTATTGCATCTTTTAATATTATTTATTAGATAATGTATATTTCTCTAAAACAACCTTGCTTTAATTATTATTGCATCTTTTAATATTATTTATTTATGCTAATGTTAATGTTTATTATATAATATATATTTCTCTAAATATTAATATTGCATCTTATAATATTATTTAGTTATGTTAAAATTAATATTTAATTAGATAATGTATATTTCTCTAAAACAACCTTGATTTAATTAATATTGCATCTTATAATATTATTTAGTTATGTTAAAATTAATATTTAATTAGATAATGTATATTTCTTTAAAACAACCTTGATTTAATTAATATTGCATCTTATAATATTATTTAGTCATGTTAAAATTAATATTTAATTAGATAATGTATATTTCTCTAAAACAACCTTGATTTAATTAATATTGCATCTTAGAAAATTATTTTAGTTATGTTAAAATAAATGTTTATTAGATAATGTATATTTCTCTAAAACAACCTTTATTTATATATAAATTGTATCAACATAATATATTTAATTATGTATAAATCATCAACTTATAATGAAATTTAAATTTTTTTCTAGGATGCATACCATATAGTCCGCTATAGGGGCACAAAGAATGTGCTTGAATGGAACGACGTCATCTTGCCCTTTCTAAAAAGGGCAAGATTGGATTCGATTCGGCATTTCAATGGGATCAAGATCGACCGCCAACTCATCACGGCGATGGTAGAGAGATGGCGAAAGGAGACACACTGCTTCAATTTTCGTGAAGGCGAGTGCACCATCACACTTAAGGACATCGCCATCTTAACCGATCTCCCCATCGATGGTGATGTTGTTTGTGTGGATTCTACGCCACCACCTAAAGTTGTTGCCAATATGAGTGGTTGGCAACATTTTATATGGACGGTCACCGGGTTGTGTCCGCCAGAGAAGGGAGATCACGATGCGGATGGTCATCCACCATTGTCCAAGGGCCAAGTATCCATCACTTGGTTGACAGCGGAGATCAGGCGTAAGCACAACCCTGAGTTTGGTGGCATTCCCCTCACGGAGGAAAGTTCGGAACGTGATAAAGAAATTTATGCACGTATCTACATCCTCGGCATGATCGGAGGAGTCTTCTTCCCCAAGAAATCCAACAACCTAATCAGCAATTCATGGTTGAAGATCATACTTGGTGATTGGGATGACATGGGAAACCTGAGTTGGGCATCTGCTTGCTTAGCTCATCTCTACCGATCTCTATGCAATGCTAGTGCGAGAGCGGTGAAGGAGATTGATGGGGCTATGTTCATCGTCCAATTTTGGGCTTGGGAGCATTTGCCATGGATGGCGCCGAAGGTTGAACCCGACAGGGAATGGGGTCCCGACCATCCCCTACGACATGAAGCTTATGGTTGTAGGTAAATGTTTTCTATCCCACTCATAGTTCTCACAATTTTATACTAATTGGATATTTTATAACGAATTGGGTATTATGTATTAACACTCCATACTATTTGGATTGAATAGGTGGCTTGGTGAAAAAACATGCGACAACCTAGGAGCGCATGAGTTGGAGGAGTATCGTAGGAGGCTTGATCGCCTTTGGGAAGCAGAGGTGAGCATCATAAGACGATATTAAAATCTACTTTTTTATGTTATATTATTATGTTGATTAATGGTTTTTTTTTTATAAACCTTTGTAGCTCAAGTTCGATCCGTATCCAGAACGGATTGTTGCGCACCATGTTCACAAATTCCCGTTACATCCCGGTCAGTGGTGCACCAGAGTTCAACTAATCTGCCACCATATAGTGGAGTGGCACTTGCCGGATCGATGTCTACGACAATTTGGACGTGAGCAATGCATACCATTGGATGTCCCGGAGAGTCAGAAGGGGTACCACGGGAAAGATGG